AGCTGGGCAGGGCAGCCCGAGCGGTTCTGTGCTGCGGGGCGAACGAGGAGACGAGCAAATGAATGGTGTCAGCCACGGGTTCTTGCGGCGTCTGCTCGGCACTCTGAAGGTCCTTCCCCTGTTCAGGCGTCAGGAGAAACAGCGGCTGAACTGGTGGTTGCCCACCACCACCGGGACGTTTCCCGCCATGGAGCGGGCCGTGGTGCGTTGCGTCCCGGCGGAGCCTAAGCTCAGCGTTTCTATCGTGCTGCAAGACGGTAAGACCCGGCATCTGCGCCGAGACCAAACGGAGCCTCTCGGCCAGGCGCTGGCTCGCATCGCCAACAACGTCAGCAAAGGCCAGGCCAAGAAGGCCAAGAAGAGCAAAAAGGCGCAGGCCGAGGCAGACCCGGGGACGCCGCTGCCGCCTTCTGAGCTCCTCCCGGTTCGTCTTTTCTCCCAGGATGGGGAAGCCGTGGCCGAGGACGTGCCCAACGAGGAGGCCTGGAAGGACGGGACGGTGCTGCAAATTGGCGAGACCCGCTACCGCGTGGAGCGCAATCCGCCCACTCTGACCGAGCTGCAGCTTCCGCGCTCGCTCATGGCCGGCTTCCCCGTGTGCCCCAAGCTCCGAGTCGAGTTCGGCTCTGCCCAGGACTGCCTCTTCCGTTGGTATCACGAGGAGAAGAGCGACCCGGCTGAGACTGCGTCGACCGCCGCGAGCAACAGCTGGGTGGAAGCCCCGGCCGGCTCCGAGCGCGTCTTCATGCCGGCCAACGAGCATATTGGGCGCCGCCTGAAGCTCGTGTGCATCCCGGGCAACGGCGAGCGGCGCTACGGGCTGCCCCGCGAGTTGGAAAGTGTAGGCCCCGTGGAGGCTGGCCCGGGTGCCTGCACTTTCGAGGCGCGGCATCTCTACACCAAGAAAGTCACGGTGCCCGGACTTATCCGCATGGTTTCCTATAATATCCTGGCCGACATCTACGCCAGGACTGAGCTCTCGCGGACCGTGCTTTATCCGTACTGTGCTCCTTACTCGCTGGAGCTCGACTACCGGCAAAACCTGCTCAAAAAAGAACTGGCCGGCTACAACGCCGACATTATTTGCCTACAGGAGGTGGACAAGTCGGTCTTTGTGGATAGCCTGGGGCCTGCCCTTGATGCCTTCGGCCTGGAGGGGCTATTCCGGATCAAAGAGAGGCAGCACGAGGGCCTGGCCACTTTCTACCGAAGGGACAAATTCAGTCTCCTTAGTCAGCACGACATTGCCTTCAATCAGGCTCTGCTTGAAGATCCCTTGCACAGAGAATTGCGGGACAAGATGGCTACCTGCCCGCAGGTTGAGGAAAGCCTGCTTAAGCGATCATCAGCTCTCCAGGTATGCCTTATTAGTTCCTCTGTCTAAGGCAGGGGTAGGCAACCTTGGCTCTTTTATGACTCGTGGACTTCAACTCCCAGAATTCCTGAGCCAGCCATGCTGGCTCAGGAATTCTGGGAGTTGAAGTCCACGAGTCAGAAAAGAGCCAAGGTTGCCTACCCCTGGTCTAAGGGGAATGGTGGGATGACTAGAGGAAGATAAGAAAATGCATGGCCAGTTAAGTTAAATGGACTTTCATTATTAAGACATTCAGAGCCAAAACTCTCTCAATTCCCCATCTTTTGGTATCTTAAGGCAGTTTTTGCTTATTTTAATTTGTTAAGAAAACATAACTGAAAATATGGTTTCAAGGAAAAAGAAGAGTAAGATAAAGTCCTCACAAATTGACCAAGATAGAAAATAACTGAGATACTGCATAGGTGGCGCACAATAGCCAGCCCCTCAAATATAAAGTACCGTAGTTACTCCTTTTTTATTTGATGTTCTTTGAATGGGGAAAACAAATTAGGTAAAGGGATTTCAGACTTTGTCAGCAGGATAACTCTCTGAAAACAGGAAAAAAAAAATGGGACAGAAGTTGGAAAAAATTATATTGAGTGCAAAAATCTGGCTGGGAGATGCAGAGAAAAACAGATCCAGTCAGCATTCATCTGAGGTACCTTTCCCAGAGGGGCAGCTGTACAGTGGCTTGAAATGTTGCTGACTGCTCCATTTGTAAATCTACCCTCCTCATGGTCATGCAGTGGGGATGCTGCAAGTAAGGATTGCAAGCAACTTCAAAAGCCATATGCTGCGTGCCTTCAGATACCATGTTATTCTTTTCAACCCAATCAAATGTTGGAAATGAATTATGTAAAGGGGCCTGGATTTTGTCCATCAGCAGGATAGTTCCCTAAAAATAAAATAGAATGGGCCCAAATTTGGTGTGTGGGGAAAAGATTTGTGTATGAAATCAGTTGGAGCCAACCGGGTTTATGGAGAAAAAAATGTCCTAATATATTACTATGGAAGAAAAAGGTGGGCAGTAGTTTGGAATGTTGCAGAGTTCTCTACAGATAGTTTTTGACTTACAACTATTTGTTTAATGGCTGTTTAAAAAGGGTGGCACTTATGGCCATTACAAAATGTCACATATTCATACACATGGACACACACTCTAATCATGTGATTATGATTTGGGTGCTTGGCAACCTGTTCACACTTAGGACTGGTTGCCAAACACCCCACAATGATGGCCATTTGCAGTCTTCTCTGTCAACTTTCTCAGAAAATCAAGAAGGCAGTAGAGAAGATTGCAAGCTGCTGTACCCTACAGAGAGGACTCCTTTTGGTCTCTGGAACTGGCTGAAAGAACGAGCTGTCAGTGTCCACACAGAGCTGAACCCCTCAGGGAAGTAGTTCTGAGAGCAAAAAGGCTGACTGCTGGAGGATTTCATCTCTATATGGAATTGAATCTTTTGGAGAACAAAGGGGCTGCCTGCCTGAGACTTTAAGCTCTGCACCAAACTGAGTCCCTCCAATAGACAACTCTTTTTGCTCTTAAAAATATTCAGCTTCACATATTGTGGAAACCCTCTGGCAGATAACCCTTCTATTCACAATCAGGAGTGCCAAGAATGTGATTATTGATCAAAGCAAACATTAAAACTTAAAGACACCCCTTTCATCTTTATCACCAGACTTGTGTCTTACGACAAAACTATTTTTGAGAGGTTGGAAAGAATTCCAACCACTATGCTCTTTATCATTTCCCTAACTTAGATACTATGTACAGTATTGTGAGGTATCAGAATTCATGAACATTTTTCTTACAGGTTTCTGTCCTTCAGTCTCAAAATGATTCTTCAAGAAAGATTTGTGTAGCCAACACTCACTTGTTTTGGCACCCAAAAGGTAATTTCTGTTTCTGATATTTTTTAAGCAGGTTATTATCTTGTATTTTGGATTCTGGAGTTGGATATAAATTGAGAATTGGTAAACTGCAGAATGGAAGCCTTTGTGGTACTGGGTTTTGCCACAGGGATAAGATGAGGTTCTTTCCATGTGCAGAAACATTCTTACTAAACTAAAGCAAGGACAGCAGTGGTTTCCAAGGAAGTCTATATTCTTGTATTGTTCATAGGTGGACTTCTTGTATTGTTCATAGGTGGATGACGCACAAGATCTATTGTTAATAGGAGCATATTTGAATACCATGGAATAAAGTTTTTTAAAATGATGTCACCACTGAACAGCAAATACAGGTAGTCCTCGAGTTACGAATGTAATGGAGCCTGCCCATTCCATTTGTAACTTGAGGATTCATAGGAATGAATCTTGTACCTTGAATGAGATTACTTCCTGCTTTCACCCACGCATTCACTAATTGAATGCGGGATTCATTAAGTGCATATGAAGTATCTCAGGGTGGGGAGGGTCATGGGGGGGGCTGGTGATGGAACAGGCCCCCAAGGCCTCCCTGACCCACTAAGATACCTCATGCTTCCCCCTCCCTTCCTGCCGCGCCAGACTCATTTATCTTGCAATGATCTGTCTGCTCTCTGCCGCTGTTTCTTTGCCTTTGAGGGAGAGTCGATGGAAGTTCCTGGGTGTGAAAAGTGTGATGCTTGTGTCCTGCTCCTCCTCCCCCCCAACTCCTTTCCACCACCACTGGAATACTTTTCTCCTGGATGGAGACCTACTGGAGACTGGAAGCTTCATCTGCGTGCAAATGGGGCACTTGGAAACGGAGTGAATTGCTCCGTTTCCAAGCGCCCCATTTGAAAGCAGACAAAGCTTCCAGTCTCTGTCAGTTCTCCGTCCAGGCAGAAAGTGTTTGAGCACCTATGGGGCACTTGGAAATGGAGCGAATCATTCCATTTCCAAGTGCCTCATAGATGCCCAAACACTTTTCACCCAGAGGGAGACTGGTTAAACATTGGAGTGGGGACAATGAAAGTTTCTGGAGTCCGGGATCTCGCGAGACTTCAGGCACCCGTTCTCTGCAAGAGGATGGGTGCCTGAACTCGTGCAATATTACAGCACCCAGGAGCTTCCATCGACTCCTCTCCTTCAAAGGCAAAGAAACTGCAGCAGAGAGGAGGCAGATCTTTGCAATATAAGTGAGTCTGGCATAGCACGAAGGGAGGGAGAAGCAGTTGTGGGGAGTGGGGGGAATAGAGTGAATGTTACAGAGCCTCTGCAGTCGTTTGTAAGGTGCCGTGGTGCTGCAACATTCTTAATTTCGGGACTTGCTCATAAACACTAGGGGGCGCTTATTGCGTAACTTTGAACAGGTACTAAGTCACACGTTGGCAACCTGCGGTTCCGGAGCCACATGCAGCTTTGAGCCTTCTGCAGCTCCCAGCCTCCTCTGCTATTTGCAGAGACAGAGACGAGAGAGGCACTTGCGCTTCCTCTCTCTCTCTCTCTCTCTCTCTCTCTCTCTCTCTCTCTCTCTCTCTCTCTCTCTCTCTCTCTGTGTGTGTGTGTGTGGCCTCACCCTGTTCTCCAACGAGCTGACAAGCGTATTGGGAGGGGCTCCTGCCTTGGCTACATCTCTGCAGAAAGCAGGAAACAGGAAGGGCAGGAGAGAGCCAGCCTGTTGGAGAACAGCTTGAAGCCAGCTTGCCAGGTGAGCAGAAGATCGGAGGGGGGGGGGAGAGAGAGAGAGAGAGAGAGAGAGAGAGAGAGAATGAACTCATGCACAGCAGCCTCTATTTTTAATTAAACTCTTCAATCAAGTTTCTCCACCTCGTGCGCGCATGCGCATGCAAGTTTTGCAGCTCCCAGTGTTTTCTTTTCTCTGGGAAACGGATCCAAGTGGCTCTTTGAGTGTTTAAGGTTGCAGACCCCTGTACTCGTGAACACTCGTAACTCAGGGATTGCCTGTAGAATAATTACTTGACTCCTTTGGGATGTGTATTGCAGTAAGAGAGAATAAAGTCTTGGATTAATTCAGGGAATGTTTAATGTCAACTTCAAGCCGGGGGCAGCACTCGCCTGACATTGAAAGACTAAGCACAGTCACTGATTACCCAGTCACCACGCTGCTTTCCGAATACTTAAATGTAAAACTGGAAAACCAATAAAATTTGTTAAAAAAAAAAAAAAGACTAAGCACAGTCAGACCAGATTAGTTGGGAAAGAAACCATCAGGAATTTCCAGGTAGAGTAGAAATTCAAAGAACTGCCTAGAATGGGGTCTCAAACTGAAATTATCACAAGAATCCTTGAGAAGTGTTAACCTAGAGGCTGCAAATGTTCTCAGACAGGAATAAAAAAGGTCTCTAATGCAGGGATTCAAACTCAATTTCATTGAGGGGCGCATCAGAGTTGTGTTTGACCTCGGGGGGTGGTGGCCAGCTCAACATTGCTCGTGTAAGGGGGCACCTGTGGTGGCCCAGGTGAGACTGGGGGGATCCCAGGAGGAAGGCGAGACCAGGGAGAGCACCATACCCTTGGCCACCAGAGGAGCCTTGCTGTCCCTCTCGGGCCATGCGGAGGATCCCCAGTGATGCAGGCTGCCTGGACCCCTGGACAGTGGAGGGCAAGCACCCAGTCCAGCCTTTCCCAAGGGGGCACCCGGCTGCACTTACCGCCTCAAGGCTGATGCTGATTGGCTCACTCTCCTTGGCCAAGTTGCTCATGGTGTGTGCTGGAGGACAAAATGTGTGGATCAGAGGGAGGTCCACTCCCTCTCCCTGCGAGGAGACCTGGCTTTGTAACCAAAGCATCCTCAGCGATAGGATGGGAGACCACCAGGAGAGATCAGGAGGAGGGGACAAGGGGATGGCGAAAGAGCAGCAGGGCTGCTTGTGGCCAAGTGCTAAGGCAAGACTTCCCTCAGACCCTCCCTCATTCTCATTATAATCTTCCTTCCTTCCTTCCCCCCTTCTTTTTCCTTCCCTCTTCATTCTCCTTTCCTTGTTCCTGTCCCTCTTTCCTTCTTTTTCCTTCCTTGCTCTCTTCCCCTTTTCCTTCTTTTTCTTTTTCTTTCCTCTTTCCTTTTCTCCTTTCCTGTCCCTTCTTGGATGCTCAAATGCAAAAGGAGAAACATTTCTCGATGCCTTCTTGCCTTGTGATCAAATGCCACTTTTGCTAGTAGTCTGTGGCCACTTAAAAGACTGAGAACAAACCAGGCTCGGTTTATCCCGTGCTTGCATTTAGTGGGAGCATCTACAGACAACAATACAGCAAAACTGTCAAAATGGTGGCTGTGATAGTGGATCAGAGCTCCTCTGTTTTTTATGTGCAACAGCTTTAGCATTTAGGAACAGAGGTAAGTTAGTTGCTTTTCTATTAATATATAATCCTTAAAAGGGCTCTCCTGTAGGGACCTTGCCATGGTCTAATTCAGACTGGAAATATAGCAAAAGAAAATATTTTCCCTCACTCTACTTTGTCCTGGAAATGGTTGTTTGCAACACACGAGGAGGAGATACTTTCCTAAGAGCTCACAATTCAAGAATGGGGAGATTGCCAATGCTGCCGCTGGCCATGGCTATCCCACGCAGGCGGGTGGGAGTGGTCCCAGTGAAAGGGAAGCCTCATGGCTGCGAGGCTAGGGCCATGGAGGTGCTGGTGGAAGGGGGGTGGCACTGATCTATAACTTGGTTGCATCCATCAAAGCAAGAATGTGCTCAGCCTTAGATCCACCGGGCAGCCCTGGAATCAGCGAGGGGCTGCCCCGGCCCCTGGGTGTGCGCACAGGAGGTGTCCTGGCTGAAGTCAGCCTGCTGGGCAAAACAGCCAGCAGGGACACCGGACTCTGCATGCTTGCCGCCTCCTGCACACATGCCCAGGAGGCGGGACAGGGACACCCGTCGCTGGTTCCAGGACTGCCCCGTGGATCTAAGTCTGAGCGCATTCTGGCTTTGATGGCTGGCACCAGGTTATAGATCAGCGCGCGGTTGGCCTGGCCTCGGTTGGGGTGTCGTGGGCTGGTCCCTCAGTTTCCAGTGCAGCTCTGCGGGGCAGACGCAACCACATGGTGGGCCGGATTTGGCCTGCAGGCCTTGTATTTGACATGTCTTCTCTAATGAGTGCAAGTGAGCTTTTCATAAGTTTATTAAATCAGAAATGTTATTGCAAAACAGCTATTTTTCTCAGCATTTCATTTTTGCCACAGCCTGGCATATTTTTCATTAACTAGAACATGAATATCTAGTTTTGTAATTGTTGAATCACAACATATACCTCTTGTGTTTGGCCATCTGAAACTTAGGATAATTTATCTGCTTAACAGAGGCAATTGCTAGAACGTGTCCCGATAATTCTCTTTATAGGAAAAAAAAAACATATTTGTCTTTAGTTTTGCATGTGTCACTTCCTCTTAAGTATTATATATAATCCTGAAAATGTAGCTCAATTTTAGAGTATTATTAGGCAGGCTAAAATTTATTAAATACATTCTGTAGTATGAGGAGGGATGTAAAGCAAAGGAACGCCGACACTTCCTTCTTCTCCTTTTAAGGGCCCTTGACTATACTTATTTGAAAAGGAAATTGCTGCGAAGAAAGGAAGAGAAAGCATGGAAAACTGAAGGAGTCAGAGAAAAGGAACATTGAAGAAGGAAGTTGGAAGAAACAAAGAGAAAGATAGCAAAAAGTTGAAGAAAGTACAGGAAAAGAGTACTGTAAAGAAAGAATTGGGAGCATGGGAGCTGAGCCAAGAGGAATAACTAAATGTGGGCCACAATTTGCAAAACCGGCAGAATCAGCAAAGCAATAGCAGTGGAAGCAGTTGACAAGTGCCAGCTGCCAGGGGAAGCAGAGTAGAACGTCAGCCAGACCATCAGCAGATGCAGTGACCAGCAATGGCTGCAAGAACATCATTAGCACTGAAACTGGCTCTGATAACCCTGCAGGAAGGTGGTAGATGATGGCAGAGTAGAAAAGTCCAAGAAGCCAGAAAATCTGGGTGCCGGTAAGCTGTACTGAGTGACAGTTGCACTATCTAACCATTGGTAGAGGCTAAGTGCCTTTGAGCTGCAGCCTTCCCAAAAGGAAAATAGACAGTCCATGTCTTCTACCCAGCATCCTGTTGATGGACACCACACAAGTGACTGCAGCATCGTGGGTTAGAAAGGAGTGAAGGAAGTCTAAAGATTTAGAAAGAATTCAATCCAGGCTTGATTCAGCCCAAAGAGGATCAGGGTTTTAAGACTGCATGTGTATAGGTAAATAAAATTAAAAGGTCTTAGAATTTGGAATAGTAAAGTGCCGGGTGATTGATTGTAGAATTGGAATGAGACTAGGATACAACAGAACAAAGACTAATTTCCGGGAATGAGATTTTTATTTGTTTGGGAAATTTGTATAGCTGTTGTCTTACATATATGACTCTGAACTGCATACAAAGTTTAAAACAAAATAACCAAAAAAATCACTAAAAGCAAAATCATTAAAAAGTCAAAATTATTTATAGAGATATCTTTTCTGAAAGGAATTGTTTGGCCTCTCGCCTGGTTCTGTCACCATCTCCCAAAATGGACCTGTGCCATTTCTCATGGACAACAGCAATGGCCAGCGCCCTCTGCCCCTGCCATCCCTGCAGCTTCTTGCTATTGCTGGCAAGGTGACAAGCTCCCGGCTGAGCTGTGAGAATACCTCCGTATATGTGTCAGCCTCGCCATCCTAAGTGCAGAGCCATCCTCTATCCAGAGGAGAAAACATAATGCCCGTCTAAGACTTGCAAGCTGCTGACCTATTTTGGCTGCCACCATGCAACTGTACATCAGCATGGCACGCTTTAACCAATATGACATGGAAAGCTACAAATTTGAAAGCCCTGTCCTAACAGAAGGCAATGGCAAACCATTTCCATGTTATAGTTGGGAGTCAAACTCAAATTGGGGGCTTTACTTTAAAAAAAAAATCTTAAAAGACTGGGTATGAAATGATTTGAAACCTTAAGAGCCATTGACTAAACATAACGGTCCTTGCTTTCTTTTGTTTTTAGGTGAAAATATCCGTCTAATCCAAGTTGCAATAGCATTATCCCATATTAAGCATGTGATCAATGACATGTATCCTGCTACACCTCTCATACTCTGTGGGGATTTTAATGCCACGCCATCAACTGGAACATATACTTTTGTCAATAGCGGTAGTATTACCGAAGATCATGAGAGCTGGGATTCAGAAGTTAAAGAGCAACGGTTTGCTATGTCTCTAACCCATCAGTTCAGTCTTAAAAGTGCTTGTGGAGAACCAGCCTACACTAATTACGTTGGAGGCTTTCATGGATGTTTGGACTATGTTTTCATTGATGCAAATGTTTTGGAGGTTGAACAGGTAATTCCACTGCCAAGCCATGAAGAAGTAACTACCCACCAGGCCTTACCAAGTGTTTCACACCCATCAGATCATATAGCACTAA